CAGGTCTGGGGCATCTGTGTAACCTGTTACACAGAGGAATGCAAACTGGTACTGGGTGGTGCAAACCTAAAATAAGTCTTTGGGCCGTATAAATCTGTAAAACTGAGAAGCTGGAGCCCACTTGAAAATTCTGAGTAGAAAGATAACATGGATCTTTGATGCTACTACTGTAAAGGCTAGACCTAGAAAATGGATACCAATATAAAGGATTCAGGCAGGCAAGAACCTCAGGTGAGGGGTACCACCAACCAGGCTGCCAGATTTTGAACCAAAGGAAAAGGATATTGGGCTGGCCTTAATATACCAAGGACAGGTCATAGTCCTTCTGAGCTATCTGAATTGGGAGTCTGGGTTCAAAGCAGAGGTATACTAAAAGTACTAGGGATATGCTGTGAAGTTAGTACTGAGATCTAGGTGAACTCTATAAGGGTAGTCCGTGTTAGTATTCTAAAAGTAGATAGATAGTTAACAACGAGGGGCCCTCTGCACCTTACTAGCAGATGACATACTCTGAAATGTGTAATGGCCTGGAAACAGTACAAAAAGGGTAGGTACTATACTGCTCAGACAGTATACTGGATAGCAGTGTAGCAAATAACTGTATGACAAATACCATGAAAGACATTGCATAGGCCACTAAAAAAGGAAAAGCATATAGTATACTTATACGTATAAAACTTTTTTTTTAAAAAAAGCATATAGTATACATATGTATATAAAAAATTTTTGAGTCAGTTATACTAGTTTGTATGCTATATATTTTATATAGTCATCGATGACTTGTATTCGATTATAATAATTAATTTAATTACAGTCGGGAGTTAATTGCTGAATTGCTTAACAGTTAATTGATTTACTATTATACAATCGATAAATTATTAATAATGAGTGTTAATAATAATAACAAATCAAAAAGAAAGTATTCGGAAAAACAATATTTATTATAAAGTACAGTATATAACAATAATGATAAATTTTATTCAAATCGATATACAGTACAAGAAAAAAAGTCAATTCAGTCTTAAAACAGGCCTTAATCCTAAATATTTATGCATGCTATCTTTATATTTAAACAAGTTTTAATGTTAAGCATAATTCAATAGTTTCTCATGAATATATAATATGTTACTAATCTGGTATTTATTTTTCGAGACCATATTCATGCTCTTTAATAGCATTAGAAATTCGTAATTCTCTCAGTTTTTTTTTACGTTCTGCAATCATCAACATGCGTTCCTCATATTCTAATTCTTCCATCATCGTCATACTAGATTCTTTGGGTTCATTACTGTTTTGAGATTCATCAGTTAAATCAATTACTTTGGATATTCATTGTTTTTTATTTTGTCTTTTTGTTGAGGATTTATCTTTAGATTGTCATTTAGCTATTTGTACAAATAAATACAATTTAATAAATATAAATATTAAAAAAAAAAATTTAAATTAAATAAAAAATACTGACTACTTCGTTTAATTGCTAATTTTTTTCTCGCAATATTACTTTTATCTTGGCCACTTAAATTAACATTGTAATGAGCTTTTATATCAACTCTTTTAAAATTGTGCATGTCTATCCTTTGACCTCTACAAAAAATTAAATAATAAATAATAAAAAAAATTACAATATCGATATGTTATATAAATAAACCTTAATATTGCTGTTATTAACTTGAGTTGTTTGCCTTCACGATTACTTATAGCATGTGCTGCTTCTGCACAATTCATATTATTGGGTGCTATATGCCAAGAATCATATGAAATCTTTGAAATATTTGGATTAAGAGATGCGATTATATAAGGTTGTTTATAATATCGAACCCAATCTATTTTATTTAAAAAATTATTTAATTTAATTTATTTAAAAATATATATTATATTAATTATAATTTATAAAATTTACCTATAAGATTACTATCTAATGTTAATAATTCATCAAATATTAATTCTACTTCTTCAGCCTTTGCAGTTAATAATAATTCTATTTTGGTTTTAATATCGCTTTCAAATCTTTTTTCATATAATTTTCTACATATATAAAAATAAATTATTAATATTAAAATAGCATGTATTGTAATATATTTAATAAATATAAATTTTAATTACTATTATTAACATTAATTACCATTTATAATGAACTTGACAAGATTTGAAAATATAAATTAAATGCTTTTCCCAAGTATAAGAATTATCAATTAAAGCTAAAGCTTCACCTAAGCCAGTAAGCTGTGCTATATTAAGATCACCGATAATACAAGTCCATCCTTTTTCATGAATATGATTAAACTTTGCTGAATCATTATTAAATTGTTTGACAAGATCAAATAATGCATTAAACATGCATTGATATGCAATACTAGTTGCTTGATTTGTAAATATTCGAGTAAAAGTTAAAACTAATTTATAAATAAATTATAATTAATATATATTATAAAAATATATATGTATTATATATATAATATAAAAAATATTTACTTGTATTATACTGTTTATCGTAATAATTTATTTCAAATTCATTAATTTCACCAGTGACTCTTTTAAATAATAAGTCAATTTTGAAATAATTACATTTTATTCATTTTTGTATTTGAACTTGAGTAGTACAAATAATCATTACATGTCCATCGTTAAAAAAATCCAAATTAAATAAATAAATTAAATAAATAAATTCTAAATTTCAAAATTTATATTTATATACTGTAATACTTACTTAATCGTTGAACATAATCTTGAAAGTTATCAATATTGCGTGAAAAATTATATACAACTCCTAATAAGTCTTGACCGAATGGATGTTTTTCTTTTTGAATCTTGTTTACACAATATCGTAACTTGTTTGTATCATTAAGTGAAGTATGTACTTCATATAAATTATCAACACCAAAATAAGTTCTAATTAAATTGCCTAAAATACAATAAAAAATAATTAAAAAATATTATATTATAAATATATAGTATTAGATAATATTAATTTTAAATTTACCTGTTATAATGCAAGTAGGAGTTACATCTAATAAATCTTCATTGGCCTGTTTAACAAGCATTTGCAATTTTTGTTTAATATTATTTGGAGTTCATGTAGGAGGAGGTGGTGGATGTGTATGTAATCCTTTACATATAAGAATTACAAATGGACATGCTTTAAGATCTAATAGTATAATTTTATAAAATTCGACTTTGCATAATTTTTTTTTAATTTGACCATGACATATTTTATTTCCTAATTGATGAGGATAAGCTAATAATGCAATATAAATATTAAAATACTAATTAAATTTAAAATTTTATAATGATACCTATTTTTATTATTAAAATACTTATGACAATATTTTTTTTTTGAAGAATTTGAAAATACAATGTAACATTCATTTGTAGACTCATTATCAATATAGTTAGGCTATAAATAATTAAATTAATTATATTAATTAAATTATATAATTAATTAATTAATTTACCTCATAAGTGCCATCAAATAATCTGCGCAAAAGCTCAATATTAATATCAGAAGAAATATACATAAAATGATGATATTTTTCTCCTATTTTCCAATTAGTACATCCAATAAAATAGGTAGATTTAGAATGATTTTGACATAATAAACAATGTAAAATAGGTTTGCCTTCATATTAATAGTTATTTTTTTGAAACTTGCAAGGTGTTTCAAGAGCCGCAAGATAAAGTCTATAATTAAATTTGATTTAACCATTATTATATTACAGCATTATAAAACTTTTTAATTTTTATTACTTACTCAAATGTGTTATTGTCTATATTATTAGATAAAATTTTTTGAGTTATTCGCATCATAAGGTCAGAATTTATATCGACACATTGATGTGTTTGATTATGTAATTTATTTGCGGCAAATTCACAGAGTTTTGAACCTTGACAAGTTCGCATTTCACATTTTACTTCAACACCCAGATAAGAACACATAACTTTATATTCATCACTAGGCTTGCCAATTGAATATTGAATCTAAAAATAAAAATATATATAGTAAGTAAAATATAGTAATTATAATAACACATAATTAAATTAAATAAAATTCTAAAATTTACTAACATCTTTGAATGCAGCTAACGGTTCATCCCAACCCTCAACATTATACACATAAGCAACACCTTCTAGACTTGTTTCAGGATATTCTATAGGAGTTAAAGTATGATAAACAATTTTTGATGCCAATTCCTTAGTAAAATATGTGGTTGTATCTTCATTTAAATCATTTGCAACATCATCTTGACGTTCATCATCGGAAGAAACCAATACACTTGTATTTTCGAAGGATTCCAGATCTTCTTCATAAATAGTTTCAATGTCATCAATAATGTGAAAACCAGGGTTATTGCTAGTATGAAGGTCAGGATTATCGATAAGATAATAGTCAGGATCGTTGATAGTTCGAAAGTCAAGATCGTTCATTTCAAGAAAAAAATATGATGAATATACATTTTACACTTGGCTTTAATTATTTAAATGAAAAAAAATCTTATATACAACATACATACACACTATCATATGATTATCCAAAACATTTCAGCATACACACACACACTATCATATAATTATCCAAAACATTTCGGCATAATTCTACATATATAATGTCATGGGCTTCATCGTTTGAAATACCGCATTCTTTAGTGAATATATAATTCTTAAAATCATGTGCATCAATTTTCCCGTGTATTTATTACTATTCATTTTTTTTTTACCTTTATATTATATACTAATTACATCATTCCTTTCATTTTCTATATTAACTTTTTTAAACTTCACTTTCGCTACTTATACTTTTTAATTAATCACTAATTTATCATCCATCATGCTAGATTATACATCTGATCTTCTCTACGATCAGTTAGTACTCATGTTACATAAAATGTTCGCTTCAAATTTTTTTTGCACAGGTATAATCATCCATACTTACAGGTATGGTCATCCTCATACTTACTATACTTATAAGTATGGGCATCTTTTCTACTTATAAGTTTGATAAGTATGATTATTAAATATATGTATGAGTATAAGAACTTAAAGTTGCCCTATGCTACTATTCTTATTTTTCCTACTATACTACTTTATATATTACTCACTGAATAAGTATATATGAGGGGTTAGTTTGGTAATTCCAATATGACAGGGTAAATGATCGGAGGGTTTAAATGGATAATCTTCTAGTAGGTTATAGGTACAGCATCTAGTGTAGAACCTTAGGGCGGACTACTTAAATAAGCAACCAAAAGTTACATGCATAACTAGCTATATTCTCATCTCTGTAAAAATAATTGTAATAACTAACCCAATATAAAGTCAATAAAGTATCGATACAAGTATGACCTTAGCAAAAAAAAAAAAAAAAAAATCCAACTCTGACTTTATTGTCTATACATCTATCAAGCTGTTACATATTTCAAAGTATATTACCTAACTGTAAAGCTTTAGGAGCCTTTTGCTAACTAACTACTTATATTTAATTTTTGCTAACAGGGCTCATTCTTGTAAAGTTCACTCAGACCTTAGTACTGACTTCACAACATATCTCTAGTACTTAGCTATACTCTGTTTTAGATCTCAGATTCCTAATTCAGATAGTCCAGAAGGACTGTGTCTTGTTTTTGATATCTTAAGAGTCTGTCCTTCCAAAATTCTTTTTTTCCAATTTGAGACTTCTGGTGGTCTGATTGGTAGTACTCCTCATTTAAGGCTTTTGTCTGCCTGATGTCTTTCATATTAGTATTTATTTTCTAAGTCTAGTTTTTACAGTAGTATTATCAAAGATCTGTGCTACCTTTTACTCAGGTCTTTCCTAGTGGGCTTCAGTTTCTTAGTTCACAGATTTACATAACTACAAGGACTTATCTTGGATTTGTACTATCTGATACCAGTTTGCATTTCTCTGTATAATTTCAATATTGTGCAGATGCCCTATAACCTGCTAGTTATGCTAGTGCAACTATGTTACAAGTATTTGATCCCAACTGATCAATGGAGTGCTGTTGCCATAATATTGCTTACCTTCTGTAATATCAATATAATATAGATAGTTTTTTAAATTTTTATTATCAGTAGGTTTTGAACTTTCAACCTACTACTTGAGAGGTTGAAAACTTATCTACTTCACTAAGTCACTACACTTCTAATATTTCTCATATTAAATCATTAAAAAAAAATAATAACTATTTACTCTATATCGATAATTATAAAATCTATACACTTATTAATATTCAACAACAAGCAATTTTAACTTTTACATTATTATAAATATCAACTATCTACATTTCTAATATAGAAATTTAAGTAATTCAAAAAATAGATTTTTTTCTTACTACTAAAACCAACTTACTAACTTATTTTTATTAACTAAAAATCTTTTAAATAATATTTATTTCTATATAGATGCCTCAATTATCAATGCACAAACTATATTGAATAATTGATATTTGATAGATCTCTAAATATAATACTTAAATTAAATTTAACTATGCAATTTCTTCATATCATAACTCTACTTGAGCAAAACTTAAAACAATTATTTATTCTATTAATAAACTTACAAAGCAATATACATCTTAACAATCTATCAGTTCTAAAAAACCTTCAATTATTTTCTTTTTTATATAAATTTTTATATATCAAAATTGAGATATTTTATTTATTATCTATTATTTTATTCAAACAAAATCTTTTAATATTTTCTTTTACAAAGTTAAATCCTATTCCAATAAGTTTTTTCATAATCAAACTGATCTCTTAGCCAAACTAGATACCTTTAAACACTTAATTAAATCCAACTTTACAACATTACTTTCTAATCATTTTAAATAACATAATTATATAATATTTACTAAAACTAATACGAATTTTGGACACAAATCATTAACTTTTTCTGATGATCACTTGTACTAATTTTCCACAGCACAAAACTGATAATAACTCAATATTTTATTAAGTAAACTACTTCTGGGCGTCTAAGTAAAATTGTTTCTGGTATAATTTTACACTTAGGCGGCCAAGTTTTATATCTCTAAGTCCTTTATTTACAGAGATATAATAATTAAACACTAAAACTCTTCTATCTACTTTATCATAGAATTTACTAAGTAAACTGCTCTTGTTTATTAGAATAAACAGAAAGAGCTCATTAATAACTTCATTTTGATATATTATTTATCAAATTTGGACCAAATTTGACTGATTTATTAACAAAATACTTAAAACTCTCTTGCAAAAATTCTCTAATTTTTTCTATTTTTTATTTTTTATTTTTTGGAAGTTTTCTGTAGCCCAAACCCATCCAAACAGGATTATTAATCCATATTATACAATTTATTTTTAACATAACTCAATTACAAATTTGTATTCTTTCTAAATTTATACAAATTTGTTCAATGTCACTCTTGATTTACAGATAGATTTACAAAGTGTTACATACTACTTGTAACACTTTTCTATTTGTCACCTTCCTTTATATATCACATCCTCTTATCTGTTACATCTCTTATTTAGTATACCCTCTTATTTATCACACTCTTATATTATTCAAATCTATTCTAACTCAAGAATCCATATATCAAATTTATATTAAAATCTGAAGCAATTATGTCTATATCTATTAGTCAAGAATTAGACCAATATGACTTAGATTATTTCTTAGCCAAGTATAGTAATCGTTTTGGCATCATGACTAAAGAAAGTAACCTATAACAAATTAAACCTATCCAATTTGCTGTTCATCCAACCAAATGTCACAAAAAAAATAAAATTCATTACTTTAAAGCATCTTATCAACCTTCTGTCATTTTATGTCTTTGTAAAACATATCATAATCTATTTACCTCTCATTATTATCAACTTCCTCCAAGATCTATGACTCTCCCTTCTTATTCAACTTCTGACTCTGCTACTCCTATGGACATAACTTCAAACCAATTCAAAAAAACCAAAGATACTATTCTTCAGTCACCTGTTATCAAAATTCTACTATTTCCTTTCAATTATGACAGCTCATCTAAAGCTACTTCCTCTACTATTACAAATCTTGATTCCAATACTGTAGCTATTAAAGCTCATACACAACATACTCATATCTGTATTATCTGTTACAAATCCAATATTCCATGTGTTTTTCTCAGTAATAACAAATATTCTCTTAATTCTTCTACCAACATTTTATGTGGTTTTTCTGCTCACTCTGCTTGTATTCCAAATCTTAAATTGAAATTTGCAACTCAAACTCAATCTCTTAACCAACAACAATGTACAATATTCTATACAACTAAATTTGCTCTTATTGATAAAAAGAAAAAATTAAAATTTTTAAAAAATTTTTTTAACTTCTTAAAAAGAAAAAAGCTACAAAACAAAACAAACTCAAAATTCCACAACAAATACAAGAAAATCTTCTTGATTGGTCTGAAAAATTTCCTATTACTGACAAAATGGAATTATTTACTAATTTCAATACACCATTATCACAACAAATTTTTGAATTTATCAAGCCTCATCTTATTATTTAACCTGCAACTACAGAGGAACTAGCCTCAAAATAGAGTTTTAAATATTTTATTAAAACTCTGACTGGAACTCAACCCAAGTTTCTTACAGATATTATCTATTAATATAATCCAACTATTGATACATCTATTACTATTCCATTCGATATTTTATATTCAACTTTTAAAGTCTTATTTCATAAATTTATCACTACACTTTTTACCAAACTTAATTACGCTAAAATCCTTTCTTTACACAAATCTATTCCTCTATACATATTACAAAACCGTTTTCAAGTAGCAATTAATTTGGCCAGAATTCATTTGTATCTCCAAAATGAATATTAAACAATCAACCTCTCAAAATTTGTCAAAACAGTCAACATATTACCAATACAATTTTCTCTAAACTACTTTATTAGTAAAGATGCTATTAACCAACCTCTTTTCAAAATACAAAATAATGAAAAATACAATATCAATATATCTCTCAATATTCCTAAACAAGAATTTCTTCAAACTTTCCATATCTCTTAAATTAAAAAATTTAGACCTAATCTCGAATCATGATTTAAACTCTTCTTTGCAAATTATAAAAAACAATTTCTTAATATCAATGAAACAAAAACCTTCAACTATATTAAATATGAAATTGCCACTAAACTTGCAGAGTTATGCAAAAGTCTACTTTCATCTAACTTTAAAATTACCTTAATCGACTTCCTACGAGAACACTCTCTACTTTGTACCAAAGCTGCTTTATTTTATATTCATATCTGCTCACATAGCAAAGATAATCCTTGCACTGTTCTTCTCTCAGATACTGAGCATAATTTTGAAAACTTATCAACAGATTTCTTTGATAAATCATTTGAAAAATTTCCTACTCCTTCCTCTAATAAAAACACAACTAGGTGGATTAATCCTGAA